CTTTATCATTATGTTGGATATCATCATCTAATTTAATGTAATTTTTATCGTCCGTGCTTCTATTGAAGTATCGGCGCCAATCAAAGAAACTTTGAAAAATGATAAATTCATTGTGCTTTACTCGAAGTCAATCATTTAATCGATCATACCTATTGACTGAAAGTTGTTTCTTGCCTCGATTATCATCATCGCCATCATCAATAGACAATTTACTTGATGCATTCAACAGAGCTTTTCTATCACTCGATTGATTCTTTTCAAGCATGCTGTAATGAAAAATATTAAAGATAAGTATACGCAAGTTTTTTCGTAAATAATTATTGGCAATGGTGATTTAACTGCTCATGCGTTTCTTTTTTTTCGTTCTTTATCAATTAAGCAAAAAGATATGTATGACCATGTAATTATTTAATCATCAGAAGGCATAAAAAATGAAGCAATTTACATTTTTTATTAGAGAAATGTATATGTCACAATTGACACGGGAACTTAATTGAGTTTGAAATGCATGCGGATAGTATGAGTGATGTGATAATTAGTAGTTGTTTATTATTGTGCTCAACTTTTGTAATGATAATAATTCTAAATTATTGATTCAGTTTTTATGATTTTATATTATTTGAAAAATACTTGCTTATAGTTATACCGCTTTGCTTTAATTATATAAATTATTTATTTGTTTTTGTGTCAAGCTAATTTAAAAAAAAACAAATATTTCGTATTCAAAAGTTTAATCTTACATTGATAAACTTCCTAACAATAAGCGTTATATTACCAATTGTTCGATTCAAATTTTAATAACGAATTTAATGATAACATACATTTAACCAACTATTCAATGTCTTCATCTCCCATTTACTTCAGGTGGACAACTATTAGGATCAACAAAGGAAATAAATAAGCATATTTACCATGCGTAGCAATACCATTTTGATGGAACTTTTATCTGAAATGTTTCAAAGATAAATAGAAAAATTTGATATTTAAGACTTTATCAAGTTCAAGAAGAAGAATCGGTTGGCATAAAAATATTTCACGGGCGTAATGTATATTTATTTGAATCTTATTTTCTTTAAATCTAATGTTTTCTATTTTTGGATACTGACTAATTTCTAATAACTGTTCTATGATCGCATCAATCAAAGATGAAAATGCAGTTAAACTGACAAATATATGATATCAACAGAACTTTTACCGCACTAGACGATCCGTCAACATAGCCTTCAAAATGAGCTGCATTAATATTTGATAAGATGACACAGAGGCGTATGTAGATTTCAATTGAATAAGCAGCACACAAAAATCAAGTAATCAACTAAATAACTGACTGAAATTGGTATAAAATGTTATGATAATCATATTTCTTTAGTATCATTGGTGCCATTATTTTTAGAAAAATAGTTTTAGACAAATATATATATATAATAATTTATAAAATGAACTATGTGCAGTCAATGGTCAATGCACGACTTGTATTACGAAATGTTTCACTCGTTCATCAATTTTTTTACACAGTTCTAATAAAACTGTATGATGAGACTCCTTTTTTTATTAACTTGAACTTTCTTGATATGAAAAAAGTGTTAGCTTATTATAAAAAGGCATAATTAAAATATGTGTTTAGAGTTCAATTTTGTAGTTACCGAACGCGTGATTTTCCACATCTCTTGTAGTTTTTTCTGTATCCTTTTTTGTTTCTTTTTGTAAGATCGCTTTCTGCATCTTTTGCATTTGCTATGTATAAACGCGATTTAATACAAAAATCACCATAACGGCAAACTTCTTCTTCAGACATTGTTTACATAATTTGTTGTAATTTTGCAAAATCACGTAATTCATAACATTTTTGTAATTCCAAAAAAGAATCAAAAGTAGAATAAACAGTCGTCAGTATTTTTTTACCTTTGGTAATGATTCCATAACTTCAATTTGATCTAAACTAGCTGGATATAAACGTTTTCCCGTTCCTCGTAAGAAAACATTATGTTTATTGATTGTTTTTGACTTGAATAAATTTACTTAGTACGAAGAATCTCAAACTAGGATCCAACAATCGGTTCATGTTGGAAGACACGGGGTCGAACAGAATGCTGCTCTTTTTACTTGTTATATGTATAAAAACTAACAGACCATAAGATACTCAAGAAATTTTGTCTTGTTCACAGTTTACAAAAATTTTATTTAAATTGAAAAATTTTCGTTTTTAATCATTGGTAATGTGCACCAACAAAAAAAAGTTACAGAAAACAAGAAAGAAAAATCAACAAAAGACAAATTATTGTCAAATTTTATAACAACAGTTTCATAAACGACAAAAGACAAAGAATTATCCTCATACTATATTTGTATTTAAAAAGTTGTAGTTGTTGTTTACGAACCACGACCAGAAGAAAAAGATTGTGTCGGTTGTCTTTTACGATTTTATTTACGTTCATACTATTAAAAAATCAACTTATTTTGGTCGAACCAATTTCTCATATGACTATTCGTATTGATAATTAACTACGCGATATTTCGTACCAATAATTTTAAAAAAAGAAATTTAGAGTTGACGAATTAAAAATTCGAACAAATTTTCAGCACATGGTATGAAACATTTGAAATTTATTTTCTATTAGTTTCTGAGTACACTGCGAGCCACCTAAAGCCTAATTGAAGATAACAGTTCTTTACGTGGAAAGATAATAGGAAAGTAATTTGTGTGCATAATCACCAATATTTATTTTTCGAATTTTTTAATAATTTAATGTTCTAAAATATTTAATAAAAAAGAGCTGTACTGTAGCCAAAAATAAATTGAAAGCTCAGTTTGAATATTAGTTAGTGTATAAATAATGTCATTCATGATGTCAGATATCATCGGATACCATATATTCCTACTGTCGGACAATCTCGGGTTATTTAGGGTCCGATAGGATCTTGTCGGGCAATTTCGAACCGTGTATCTCTTTCTGTTATTTAACAAAATCTTTATTATTTTGTTGTGCACATTGGTGAACATGTCTTTGCAACGTACGAAGTTCATTCGAAAATCTTTGTTTATATGTTTTATCGATTATTGGTCTACATGGAATCTTTATTTTATTCCCAGTTAAAAAGTATTCAGTCTAACCGTCTAAAAATTTCTCGAACATATCATATTGGATCATCTATTAAAGCTTGAATTAATTCACCAATAAATTTAATAATCATTGCTTGACGAGTAAGACGTTTCATATCAGCAAAGTTCAAAAAATATTTTTGTTTTAATAAATTGTAAATAAAAAATAAACATATTTACGTCTTGCATTTCTTGATCTATAGGTGAAGCGATTAAATCATCGTATGTTTCATTATAAATCAACTTTGGATGTTTTTCAAGAAACTTTTGAAAACTATAATTA